ACAGAAACAACAGGTGCTTTCTTTTTTATTTTTTTAATCCTCACCCGAGGATATTTTTTTCATTGATTTTTAGAGAGAGTGGAAGGGAGAGACAGAGAGAAACACTGATGTGAGAGAGACATGTCGATGGGTTGCCTCCTGCAGCCCCCGACCAGGGCCAGGAGCCTACAACTGAGGTACGTGCTTTTGACAAGAATCGAACTCAGGACCCTTCAGTCTGCAGGCCGACACTCTATCCACTGAGCCAAACCAGCCAGGGCAACAAGGTGCTGTCTTAACAAGAACTCCCTGTGGGAGGGCAGCGCCCATGCGTGGTCATCTTGCTGCTCCCTGAAGACTCAGCCCAGGCTCCATTCCCCTTTGGCCCGGAGACAGCAGCGCTGCTTGATTTTCTGTAAAATGCCACCACAACCTCCCCTAGGAGGCAGCATCCTTCATCTTTGCTGCCTGGCCACTAGGAAACCACACCAAACTGGGCAGGAGCAGGCTGCTGTTGCCATGTGCCCGGCTTCCTGAGGCCCCAGGATCATACTGTGCTGTCGATTATGCACCTGCCATGGGCCAGTGCGCGTGCAATCTCTTCGCATGCCCTGCAGAACGAGTCTCCACAATGGTGCTGAGATAGGTATTCACCTCCGGCCGGGGAACCAGGCAGTCTGGCTTCAGAGCCCATGTCTTAACCAGAGCTCTGAGTGGACGGGAGGAGAGCTGCCGTGGAGCCAGTGCAATGGGAAAGGTCGGCATGGCCTGGGCTCGGCCCCGCAGCTGCAGGTGACCTTGGGGAAGTGGTGTTTGCTCAGCGCTAGCTTTCTCATCTCTAACACGAGAATAACAGCTTCAGAGGGTTGTTATGAGGGTTAAAGGCGATCTTATGAACCACCTGGCACGGAAGGTGCTCAATAAAAGTTCTGTTACCCAGGCCCTGGCAAACCTCCAGCCCAGGGCCACGTCCTTCCAGCCTCGCTCTGCAGGCAGGAACTAAAGGGGGACAGGGTGCCGATGGAGCATCACCCGGGGTGCCAGGCGCTGTGCCCGGGTGCCCAGGAGGGGCAGCCAGGCAGGGGCCTGTGCCCTGCGAGGTATTAGGATTCTGGCCCCCATGTCAGGACACTGTTGCAACCTCCTCTGCGCCATCAGCCCCTGCCCTGCCCCACCCTCAGCCACCTGCAGGGCCCCTTGGGTGAGGCGGGCAGGGCAGAGCAGGGCAGGGCTGAGCGGGAGGCAGCAGGGCGTCATTATCACTCCCAGCACAGGGCTGGAGACAGAGTTAAGCCCGGACTTCTTATCAGCTTCCCAAGCCTTGTGCTGCAATGCAGGGCCTGGCTCTGAGGCATGGGGGCTGGAAGGCAGGGCCCTGTGGTCACTGCCGTCGGCCTTCCTCCTCTGCAATGGTCCCCTGGGCAGGAACGGGAGGGAGCCTGGGAAAAACGGAGCGTGCCCCCTGCCTCGGAGACCCTGTCACCCTAAGCAGGCCCTTCCCTGTCTAGTTCCCATCTGTCATTGGGAGTGGAGGGGCAACTGGGTGAGATGACCCCCTGTGACCACCTGGGAGGGAGCCGTGGTCATCGTGTGTATAGACCACTAACCTGGGCCAAGTGGAAGGGAGAGACAAGCGCCTGCAGCACTAGTTTGAAGCAGAGCTGAGTGATAACTGACTCCCAGCTCAGTGCTCTTCCCACCCACACGCCCTGACCTCTAGAAGGTCCATGGAGGAAAGCTCTAGAGGTGATGAGGGGGTAGGGTAGGGGTCACTCCTTGGCTGCAGCCCAAGGGAAGGCAGGGATGGCATGGCTTCGTGAGGTGTGGAGAGCAGATTCCAACAATGGACCCTGATAACACCCCTCCTTTTACTAGGATCAGTGGGACTTCAAGAGGTGTGTCTGAGAATCAAGAGCAAGTTCAACGGAAATGGGGAGGGAGGAGAAAAGGAAGGTGGGTGCAGCTCAATTGAGGCCCCCAGCCTGGCAGGAAAGACTATCTGCGGGGCCCCAATGCATAACAGAAAGGGGGCAGGTGGGGGGGGGATAAAAAAAAGAGGTGGGCTAGGTCCCACTTACCCGTAGAGGAGCAGCAGTCCTAGAAGTCTGAGGCTGGTAGAGACTAGAGAGACCTAGGATCCTCATCCCACAGGAGGGGTCAAGGCCTCCTTGGAGAATATGAGGAAAGTTACATCTGTGCTCAGGCTGTCAAGGAGATGACTCACTCTGGCTTAGGACTTGGGAGGCCTTGCCTGAGACGGGGAGAACCCCCTATGTAGCTGGAGGCAGGGACCTGGTATTGAAGAGAAAACCACAGGCTCAAAACGGCATCACTCGTGCTAAAGCTCATGATGCCAAACGTAGGTTTAATACCTGATCTAACTGCAGTTTCAACCTCTCCCAGAAAAGTCATCTCACCCAGGCTGGAATTTTCTTGTCAAGCACCAATAACATAATCTGTCATGTAGGCCCTCTCCATCCCCCATAGGAAAAAAAAAAAAAAGGCAATCTGAATGGCAAAACCCTCCCGTTCTCTTCCCCCGAAAAAGACATTCAGGCCCCAGAATAACCTTTCTTTTCTTTTACTCATAGCTCCCTTGCCCCACTCTTCTTCCTATAAAAACCTTCCTTTTTATACCACCCCTCAGAGTACCCTTCTAGATGCTAGATGGGATACTGCACAATTTATGAATCATGTAATAAAGCCAATTAGGCCCTGGCCAGTGTGGCTCAGTTGGCTGGGCGTCGTCCTGGGCACAGAATGGTTGCTGGTTCGATTCCTGGTCAGGGCACATGCCTGGGTTTCGGGCTCTATCCCTGGCAGGGGGCTTACAGGAGGCAGCTGATCAATGTCCTCATATTTGATATCTCTCTCTCTCTCTCTCTTTCTCTCTCTCTCCCTCTCCTTTCCTCCTCTGTCTCTAAAAATCAATTTTAAAAATAAAAAATAAAAAAAAACCAAGTAGATCTTCAAGTTTACTCTGTTGAATTCTGTTTTTTAACACTGGTAAGTGAAGTCCTGATGACCAGCCACCCAGCTCTGAACCAGTCGGGGCAGTGAGGGGGTGGGCAGGGCAGGACTAGGCCCACCCAGACCCTGGGACTTGGCCTCCTCAGCCCCCTGCACAGCCGGGCTGCAGGTAGATGCCACTCCCGAACCAGCCAGTTCCATGAATACCTCCCCACCCCGGCCTTGGCCCAGGTTCCTGGATCTTGTCCACGCTGGACCAGGCCCAGGCCACCCCAAGGACTCGCACTTGGGAGTGGACCTGAGAGCTCTGCGGGTGCCCCATTTCACCAGCCCGGGCTGAGCTGTGCCCCCTGCACACAGACAAACTCACACAGATCCGTGTTTCACATACACACCTAGGCTCAGGGGCCGAAAAGGCCTCATACCTTCCTTCCTTCATCATGTGACCATGGGCAGCGAGCTTCCCAGGCTACCTGAGGCTGCTTCAGCTTTGCTGGTAAATGCGGGCTCTCGGAATTTTAACTGTGGCCACTTACGCTGTTTACAGCAACACTCACACTGGGCTGCCCTTTTGCTTGCCGGGGAGCAGTACTCTGCACCCCTCCCCAGACACCAGGGCAATGCTGAGTTAAGCAGAGCTGAGAGCTGAGAAAAAGCATGAACCCCAAGGGGGCTTGGGGTTTGGGGAGACACTGGGAGCAGGGCAAAGGGGATGAGAAATAGCTGGAGTCCTGGGGTTGCACAAGGCTGGCCAGGAGCCTCAGAGCCAGGGCCAGAGTGGCTGGTGAGGCTGGGGCTGGACAGGGACAGGCCCTGGTGGCCACAGCCGGTGGAGTTGGGAGGAAGAGGGAAAGGCCGCTTCTCGAGAACTCAGCATATGAGAACTGGAGCCCCATCCTGCACTGTAGGTCGCCTGGAGAATGAGCTCCTGCCCCCAACACACAAGCACATGCAGGCTCACAGAGGCATGACCACCCCCACAGGCCCCTGTGATGTTCAACTGACCGCTTCACCTTCATCACCACCACCTACCCCCCACCCCCGATTTCACCTGGCTACGGGGGAAGCAGGGTGGTTGCTCCCCGATCCTCACCTCTGAAGGCAGCAGTTCTGAGACTTCCAATGCAAGGAAGTAGGGAGGCTCCCGAGGCTCCCACAATGCCCTGATACAGATGGCAGGGTCACATGGGCACTTGGTAAAAATTCCGATTCAAATTCTCGCCCTCCCCCACCCCATAATTCTGGGTCGGCGGCCGGGGGCCCAGGTAATTCTGAGAAGGTTGTCTTTGGAGAAACCCTGGGTGTTTTTAGCTGTGTGGTGGAGAAAATAACGACAACCATACTGCTGTGTTCATTGTGCGCCTACTGTGTGCACCTGTTTTGCAGGCACCACCTCACTCACTCCAGCCCCTGACCACCTTTCAGGAAGGTGCCATTATTTCCAAGAGGAGCCGCAGTCTCCTGTGGACTCCCGCATACACCACTCCCTCAAGGGGCCTGCGGACTCACAGGGCCTGGGGCCCTGCGCAGGAACAGGACCGGACTACCCTGGGAGGGACCAAGGTGAGACCCACTAGCAGGAAGAAGCAGGGCCGGACTATGGTGAGACCCCCACTCTCCACCTCCAGGGATGAGGATCGCGAGGGCCCACTCCCAGACGGAGGGCCAGCCCCCACCCACCCAGGTGGCTCCAATGCCTCGGGTTGGACCAGGCCAGGCTTGGCGAATTCCCAGGCAGCGGGCGCCCCCTGCAGCCAGACAGCGGTGTGGCAGGGCGGGGCCGGATCTTTCCCGAGGCTGACATCCCTGACGTGTGGGGGTTTTCCCTTAAAGGCAGGCGGCCAGGACAGCTACTGTGGGTTTTATGGTTGGCCCCATTTTAAGAAGGAGAGAAATCTGAGTGTCTTGCCCAAGGTCACAGAGCCAACTAGTGTTGGACCTTCCTCCCTCCCAGGGTCTTTGTCCCAGCCCCTCACACCCAGGACAGACACACGCAGCAGGGCAATGGTACAGCAGGAAAAGGGTGTTTAATGGACTTGGGGGGTGGGGGGGGATGGTCTTGGAATTCCTACCAAGGGCGGGGCTCAGGAGGTGAGGTTCGGGTGCAGGGACTCCTGGCATCGCTGGGTGTGACGGGGCAAGCCTCATCTGGGGGCCTCCTGCGGCCGGGGCAGCACTGGGCCTGCGTGGAGCTAAACGAAGTGGGTGTGTGGGGTCTTTTCCCAAGCCCCTGCCCCACAGCTCAGGGCCCACCTGCTGGGGAGCAAGAAACTGTCCAGCCGCCACCAGCCCCAGGCAGAGCAAAGGGAGTGGGCTGTCACCATAGAATGTCATGGCACCCCCATTGGACTTCAGAGAAGAAAAATGACTTTAAATAAAGGAAACTGAATTATAATTATAAACCATTGGGCTCGTTTCAGTCCCCATTACAGCTAAGGGAGCTGAGGCTCAGAAGGGTGAGTGACCGCCCAAGACTAACCAGCAGTGAGAGGTGTGGGCTCTGTGTCTCCGAAACCAGGCGTTACCTGGCGGACTGTGGCCCCACCTCCAGCGCTCCTCCCTCTATAAGCCCCTCCCTTGAGCGCTCTAGCTTCAGAGCCAGCCCAACATTGGGGTGGGGGGCTTCCCCCCTAGCACCTGTACAACCCGGAGGCACCCCTCTCCCAGCACACACTCACTACTCACCTCCTGGAGGGCTGCCGCCTCCCCACTCCCTGGGGGAGCATTTCCTGATCCGTGGGGAGCCAGAGGTTGGGGCTGGTGGCCAGACACAGGCCCAGGGACGACTGAGGGGTTGAGTGCAGAGGGGCACATTGGGCAATGCAGGTTCTGCATGAGCACCCAGTCCGGCTCCACCACCCTCTGCAGCCAGACAGCTTTGGCCATGTACCTGGGGAGCAATAAGCCAGATGCAAGGGGTAGTGGCCCCCCTGGCCTGGTCCCCATGCCCCCTCAGCTTAGGGAACACATAGCCCAGGGCTTGGGCTTGCAGGGAGCTGGGGCCGGTCTTATCCGGCCTGCAGTATCCCTCTACTCCATTTCTTAGGACAAGAATGAAAGGAAGTAGGGAGGCTCGGGGGCTCCCACAATGCCCTGAAGGAAACCTCAGAGAACAGTGAGTGTGAGGGTCTGGGAGCTGTGCTAAGAGGCCAGGAGAGATGGCCCAGCTTCCCCCCACCCCACCGGCTCCATGGGCCACTGCTTGGACCTCTGGTTTGCCAACTTACTTGGGTCCCAGCGGTGCACAAATTGCTAAATACCAGTTGCTGGCGCAGCCCTGGTCAAAGGGGTTGTATCCCCACAGGTATCGGCACTGGAGAGGGGTGTAGATGGAAAGAGGAGCTCAGAGCCAGCAGGACTGGGCAGACCACCCCACTGGCCCGCCCTCCCAGCCCAGCCCAGGGCTGCTGCAAACTCAGAGGGCAGAGAGGCCCAAGAGTGAGCTGAGGCCTCCCCTACCCAATTCTGAGTTGCTCTGTCCAGGCGACCCTGGCACTGCACCCACCTCTCCTGCCTTCTCAGGGATCCTTCCCATCTCCTTGTACCCCCTTTGGCAGCATCTTCCCCACCTCTGTCTCCTTTGGCCACACACATTCTCCTACTATGTCCTTCCAGATAGACGTTCAAATCTTCCGTTGGCTGACAAACTGCTCCAAAGACAGTTCCATATACACACATCCTGCTCCCCCACTTCTCTACTTTCCTACCTCTCGTTTTTTTCTAAACGTGTGCCTTCCCTGAATTTCACTGTCTGGACGGGCGGTTGTATGGAGTCCTGTCCTATTTCCCTAACCAAATCACACGGCCCTGGGGAACCTGGGCTGAAGGTCCTGAGCACCCAACGCAGGAGAGGGCAAGTCCGCCCCAGGCGCACTCTTGACCAGGTTCTCTTCCTCCCTTGTCCCTCCCTCCATCCATGAGCCTTGGGCCTTCCTGAGCCCCATCTGACTCCCCAGCATAAGCCAAGTCTCACTCAGACTTCGAGAGCCTTAGCGACAAAATGTTTGTCATAACCAAAGCTCTGCCTCCCACCAGCTCCCCTACACCCCGTTCCTGTCCCTAAGACTTTGATCTCCAACAGTCTTCTCCACCCAAAGGAACCAGGATTGCATGCAGGGCAGCTGACGCCTGGGGTCGGAAAAGTCAAGACGGCTCCAAAGAGCAACACTAACCACTGAGATACTTGAGTTCTGCCTGCTTAAAGATGCCTAAAGCACTGGAGGGAGATTGGCACTCTATTCACAATTTTAATTAAATGGCTCAAAGAGCTTGATCAAGTTGACAATCAGAATTATAGAGAAATAAATGCTGATGTATTAGATGTATATGAAGTATAGGAAAATGTCTATGGTTCAATGCTTAAAGGCATGATCATTATTTAATAAATTCATAAGACCTGACCAATAAAGCAGACCACCTTCCTCTCTCTCCCCACATAGGACCCTCTGAGATGTGAATGGAATGCAGCAGCTCTGAAGTTTCCAAACTGTCCTCTCTCACTGGCTCCAGACCTGGGTCTCCTGCCCCAATCCCATGTTTCAAATGCCCTGACAGTCCACAGGACCACAACCAAGTAGGCGTCTCCTCACCCCATCTCCTGCCCAACCCCCTGCTGCCTGGGCTCTCCCCCTCCCCCAGGCGGGCATCAGGCTTCTCCCTCTCCCTCTCTCCTTCTCTTCCAACACATTGATGATTCCTTTGTTTGTAGGTTCACTCATTTACTCATAAATATTTTGGGGCCTCAACAATGTTTCAGGCACTGTGCTGGTGGAAGAGCAGGCCCAGGCCAAGACCGCAAGGCGCAGGCAGAGCGGCAGCTGGGCCACAGAGGCTGGGGAAGGGCCACTGCAGGTGTGTTCCGTTTCAGGTGCTGCTGTGTGCAGCCGGGGAAGATTTAGTCTGAGGGCTGCCTGCCAGCTTGGCCACTTGGAGAGTGCAGCACCAGTGTGACGCTGAGGAAAGAGGCTGGGCCAAGGACGGCGAAAAATGGCACTAATGAGCACAGACAACTCTTTCAGGACATTTCGCTGAGCTGGAGGGGAGAGTACGCAGGTGACGTGAATGCCTGTGATGTTAAGGGAGGATTTTGCTTTGCTTTTTAAGATGAGAGAGACATGAACATGTGTACATGATGAGGGGAAGGAGTGGTAACAATAACAACAGCGCATACAGCACTTACTTGTACCAGCCACAGTTCTGTGACTTATGCATGTTAACCCAGGAGGCACCAGGTGGCTAAATAATATACCCAAGATCTCCCTGTTGGTATGTTATAGAGCTGTGGTTTGAGTGTATGTACTCTGGCTCCAGAGTCCTTGCTATCAAGCACTGAGCAAGTTGTGTCACAGGATGGAGGCAGGATGCAGGTCCCTGAAATGGGGCCTGCAGGCAGTGGGAAAGAGCCCTTCCTGGTGAATCAGAGTGCAAACTACATTTAGGTTTCTTAGGCTGAAGATCCTGGATTGGGGGGTATGGGTGGGGGCATTCTGAGCAGTGGAGGAAGGGTGAGCCACAGGATGTAGGAAGGGAGAATGCTGCCCCGAAAGAGGCTGAAATGATGGACTGAAGCTTGAGAGAGAAAACCCATAGACCACAAGGGGTTAATGAGGAAGGGCTGAGCGGAAGAGTCACAGGTGGGCTGGGAACCAAATACGGGGGGAGTGGAATGATTGAGTGGTGACTAGAAGGATGGGAAGTGGTGGGCAAAGAGGATTCCTCTGTGTTGTCAGCTGTCTCAATAACTCTCGCTCCTCCCTCTTTATAGTGGCACACTACAATCTTCCTAAAACAGTCTTTAGAAGTCATTGTTCTGAAGGAATCCCATGGCAAGAATGTTCACTTTTGCCACTCCTCCTCCACACTGTACTGGAAGCTCAGGACAGTGCAGAGAAAGACATAAAGCCATAATGTTGGAAAGGAAGAAATAAAACTGTCCTCATTTACAGATATCATGGTTTTCTATGTAGAATCAACAAAAAAGCTATTAGAACTAATAAGAAAGTCTAGCAAAATTATAAGATCCAAGACCAACATACAAAAATCCACTGTCCTGCACCACATAATGATCATATGGCCATGCACTGCCTAACTACATTTGGTCAATGGCAGACTGCATATACAATGGTGGTCCCACTTAGATTATAATGGAGCTGAAAAATCCCTATCAACTAGTGAGGTTATAGCCACTGTAACATCATAGTGCAACACATTACAACTATCTACACTATTCATATATATACATATATATTCATATACAGTGCAGTAACATGCTGTATAGGCTTGAGGCCTAGGAGTGATAAGCTATACCATATATCCCAGGAGTGAAGTGGGCTATATCACCGAGGTTTGTGTAAGTGCACTCTATGATGTTTGTACAACAACAAAATTGCCTATGAGGCATTTCTTATAGTTGAGTGATGCATGACTGTAATAGTAAACAAAGGAAAATGAAAAAGTTTTTTCAGTTATAAAAGCAGGTCAGAGGAATGGTGGCATGAGAGATCCCCTTGGCCTTTACCCCTAAAATTTCAACAAGTTAATCAACTATAATTCAACAAAGAATTCCCTACTCAATACAAAGGCATGCCTGAGAGAACTGCACACTGAAACATCTAAAGGTGGGCAACCAGGAAGACATAAATGGGAAGACAAGAAGGGAGGATCGTGTAGATAGCCCACTGGTGCAGCCCTGTAGCCAGGAGCTCATGGCATGGCCTGGAGAGGGGAGGAAGCCAGGGGTAGCAGGCACTTCCTTCAGCCAGGAGGACAGAGAGCTTCGGGGGGAGGGGCTGTCCCACAGGGCAAGTGGAACTAAAGGTGGCTCAGCCAGTGGACGTCTGACAGAGCACAGGGTTCTACCACGTGGCTCTCCACTACTGGGCCGGGTGGTGGTGTTTCAGACAAGAAATGGAACCACAGAGCCCTGTCACCACTTGGACTCCCAAAACTCACCTCCAGTAGCCCAAGGAGCATACTGTCTGTAAACCAAGAGTTATTGCAGTAGAACCACTGTTTCCCTCTGTGATTGATCCCCAGGTGGGGTGCTTGGAGTGGGACCCCAGGGAGGTCAGGGGTTGCCATTATAGTGAAGGTAAAACAAACCCCACCCCCAAGCAGTGCAGCTGTACTGTTTGAGGGAAGCCAGGGAGGTCAAGTCTGAGAAATCACAGAGGTAAAAAAAAATCTTGCAATTCAGCACCATCTACTGGAAAATAGAAGAACGACCTCTTCAGAGGAAGCTGCTATAGAAGACCATTAATATAGACAGATGTACATGCCTAGACAAAGGAGGAGAGCAAAGATGATCAGAAAATGAAAAATCCCCAGAAACCAAGCTGGTACACATAAAAATATATGATATAAATAACAGATTGCAAGATTGTAGTTCTGAAAATATTCAACAAGATGCAAGAAAATTTGGACAGGCAATTCAATGCACTCAGAAAACAAAACAAGTACTTTACCAAAGAGGTTGAAACTTTAAAAAAGAACCAATCAGAAATCCTGGAAATGAAGCATGCAATTAGGAAATTGAGAGCAATCCCCATCAAAATCCCAATGTCATTTTTTAAAGAAATATAATGAGAAATCATCAGATTTGTATGCCAATGTCATTTAAAGAAATATAATGAGAAATCATCAGATTTGTATGGAACCATACACACACACACACACACACACACACACACACACACAAAATGATAGCCAAAGAAATCCTGAGGATAAAACAAAAACAAAAAACAAAGCTGGAGGTATCATGCTACCTGACTTCAAAGTATACTACAGAGCAATGATCATCAAAACATCATGGTATTGGCAGAGAAACAGACACACAGATCAGTGGGACAGAATAGAGAGCCCAGCTATAAAACCACGTGTATATGGACAGATAATTTTTGACAAAGGAGCCAGAAACACACAATGGAGTAAATACAGTCTCTTCAATAAATGGTGCTGGAGACACTGGAAAGCCACATGCAAAAGAATGAAACTGGATTACAGTTTGTCCCACGTACAAAAATTAATTCAACAATGATCAAAGACTTAAGTATAAGATCTGAAACAATAAGTTACATAGAAGAAAATATAGGTACCACACTTATGCACCTTGGTCATAGAGAACATTTTATGAGCTTGACCCCAAAGACAAGGGAAGTAAAAGCAAAAACAAATGAATGGAATTATATTAAACTAAAAAGCTTCTGCACAGCAAAAGAAACTGACAACAAAACAGAGAGGCAGCCAACCAGATGGGAAATGATATTTGCAAACAGTAGCTCTGACAAAGGCTTAATTTCTAAAATATATAAATAACTCATTAAACTCAACACCAAACAACCCCATCAAAAAGTGGGCAGAAGCCCTGAAAATATACCTCTCCCAAGAAGACATACCAACAGCCAATAGATATATGAAAAGTTGTCAACCTTACTTGCAATTAAGGAGATGCAAATCAAAACTATAATGAGCTACCACCTCACACCTGTTAGAGTGGCCATTATCAACAAGACAAGCAATAACAAGTGTTAGAGAGGTTGTGGACTATGTAAAGCAGTCTAGTGATTCCTCAAAAAATTAAGAATAGAGCTATCATTCGACCTAGCAATCCCTCTCCTGAGTATATACCTGAAAAACTAGAAAACATGTATTCGCAAATATATAAACACCCCTATGTTCATTGGAGCATTATTCATGGTGGCCAAGACATGGAAACAACCAAAATGTCCTATGATAGAGGACTGGATAAAGAAGATGTGGTCCATATACACAGTGGAATGCTACTCAGCCATAAGAAAGGATGAAATACTGCCACTTACAACAACATGGATGGACTTTGAGAATATTATGCTTTGTGAAATAAGTCAATCAGAAAAAGCTAAGAACCATAAGATTTCACTCATATATGGAATATAAAACTGAAACTCATGAACATAAACAGCAGTATGGTGATTGCCAGAGAGAAAGGGGTGGCGGGTGAAAGGGGTCCTAATATATGATGATGGGATATTTGACTTTGGGTGGTGGGCACACAGTACAATACACAGATCTTGTAACATGGAAACCCACACCTGAAACCTATATGATTATAGTAACCAATGTCACCCAAATAAATTTAATTTAAAAAGGGAAAAAGAAAATTCTGTAAGGTTGTTAGATGCAAGAGTAAAAATTTATCTCATTTAAGATTAACAATTGCATCTAGCTAATAGAAAGTAAAACTGTGTAAAAAGCATTATAAAGTAGCTAGAAAAATATTTAACAAAAGATATGCAAGGCTGTTATGTATAAAATTATTGAAAGATGTTGAAGAACACAAGTAAATACAGAAAATAGCATAAACTTGAATAGGAATATCAACAGAGTAAAGATGTAACTAACCTGATGGGATTGCAATGAAAACATCCACAGTAATGATGGTAGAATTTCACCAGGTAATCTGCTGTTAAGGTGGTATTTTGAGTTCTAGAATGCCACCTTGATTCAATCTTTAATTTCTTGGAAATATATACTTATTTTACAGTAAAAAAAAAGTTATAAAAGCACAAAAACAGGAAACAGAAAAAATCTAGCACAGTATATGCAAGATCTATATATGGAAAACTGCAAAACACTAACAAAAGAAGTTGAAGAAGACGTAAATAAGTGGGGAGGTACACCATGTTCATGAATTCAAAAACTCAATATCAATTTTCCAAACTGACCTGTAGGTTCAACACAATCCAAATGAAAATCTCAGCAAACATTTTTGTAGAAATTGACAAGCAGATTCTAAAAATTATGTGGAGGCCCAGCTGGTGTGGCTCAGTGGTTGAACACCAACCTATGAACCAGGAGATCATGGTTAGATTCCCAGTCAGGGCACATGCCAGGTTGCGGGTCATGGCTAGATCCCCAGTGGGGGGCATGCAGGAGGCAGCCAATCAGTGATTCTCTCTCATCATTGATGTTTCTATCTCTTTCTCTCTCCCCCTTCCTCTCTGAAATCAATAAAAAAAAAAAAAATACATATTTTTGTTGATTTCAGAGAGGAAGGGAGAGGGAGATAGAAACATCAATGATGATAGATCCCCAGTGGGGGGCATGCAGGAGGCAGCCAATCAGTGATTCTCTCTCATCATTGATGTTTCTATCTCTTTCTCTCTCCCCCTTCCTCTCTGAAATCAATAAAAAAAAATACATATTTTAAAAACTCTCTGAAATCAATAAAAAAATAAAAATAAGAATTATGTGGAAAATCAAAGGAACCAATAGTCAAAAGAACTTTGAAAAAGAACAAAGTTGAAGAACTCACAATGTGTGATTCCAGAACTTAATATAAAGCTACTAGTCAAAATAGTGTGATATTGGCAAAAGAATAGAGATCCTCAAATACACCCACACCTATATGCTAGTTGAATTTTGACAAAGGTGCAAAAGCAACTCAATGGAAGCAAGATAGTCTTTTCAACAAATGGTGCTGGAAAAAACCCATATGCAAAAAAATAAATTTTGACCCATACCTTGTATCACATACAAAATTTAACCCAAAATGAATTGTAGGCCTAATTATAAATTCTAAAACTTCTAAAAGAAAACATATTTTTAAAAACTTTGTGATTTGGGGTTAAGCAAATATTTCTTAATTATAACATCAAAAAGCATAATCCATAAAAAAAACAACGGATCATGTACTTCATCAAAATACTGCCCTAACCAGTTTGGCTCAGTGGGTAGAGGAGCGTCAGCCTGCGGACTCAAGGGTCCCAGGTTCGATTCCGGTCCAGGGCATGTACCTTGGCTGCGGGCACATCCCCAGTAGGGGGTGTGCAGGAGGCAGCTCATCGATGTTTCTAACTCTCTATCCTTCTCCCTTCCTCTATGTAAAAAATCAATAAAATATATTTTTAAAAAATTCAAAATACTATTAAGAAAATAAAAAGAAAACGAGATGACAAGCCACAGACTGGGAGAAAATATCTAAATCCAGACTACATAAAGAACTCTTAAAACTCCATAGTTCGAAAACAATCTAATATTTTAATGGACAAAAGATTGTAACAGACTTTTAGTCAAACACACTCATATGGCAAATAAGAACATGAGAAGAGGCCCAACATCATTAGGCATTATAAAAATACACATTAAAACTACAATGAGCCCTAGCCAGTTTGGCTCACTGGATAGAGAGTCGGCCTGGGGACTAAAGGGTCCCAGGTTCGATTCTGGTCAAGGGCATGTACCTTGGTTGCGGGCACATCCCCAGTAGGGGGTGTGCAGGAGGCAACTGATCAATGCTTCTCTCTCATCGATGTTTCTAACTCTCTATCCCTCTCCCTTCCTCTCTGTAAAAAATCAATAAAATATATTTAAAAAAAAAACTACAATGAGATACTTCTACACATTTATTAGACTAGCTAAAATCAAGAAAAGAAAAAACACACAAACAAATCCGACAATGCCAAATGTTAGTGAGGATGCAGAACGACTGAGATTCTCATGCACTGCTTTGGGAATGCAGAATGGAACGGCCATTTGGAAGGCAATTGGCAGTGGTGAATGGCTAAATAAGCTGTGGCACATCCATCTGATGGAATAATACGCAGCAACAAGGGGAAAACTACTGATGTGGATAACCACATAGATGATTCTCAAATACATTATGCTAAGTGAAAAAAGCCAGACTCAAAAGGCTTTGTTTCCATTTATATGAGACTCTGGAAAAGGGAAAACTATAGGGATAGAAAACAGATCAGTGGTTGCCAGGTTGGCAAAGAGAAAAACGGAATGAAAAAGGCCATGAGGGAATTTGGGGGGGGGGGGATAAAAATGTTCTAAATCTTGGTTATGGGGGTTGGTTACAGGGCTGTAGGTGTTTGTATGTTTAAAAAAAGAATCCTATCATGGCTCCCAGGAGTCCACTGCACCAAGACCAAATTCTCCACCTGAGGTTCTGAGCCTTTTAAATCTGGCCAACCCCAAGCAGTCCACTTGACTTCTATGCCCTCTCCTGCTCCAATTGACTATTTCTTGCCTGGCCATTGTGGCCCAGTAGTTGAGCGTGGACCTACAAACCAGGAGGTTGGGGTTCAATTCGGGGTCAGGGCACATGCTGGGGTTGGCCTGCAGGAGGCAGCCCATCCATGATTCTCTCTCATCACTGATGTTTCTCTCTCCCTCTCCTTTCTCTCTCTGAAATCAATAAAAACATAATAAAATGAAAGACAATTTCTTCACCATCCTATCCTCATTCCGGCCACCATCAGGCTCCCCTGCCTTTTTGCTAGCTGGCCCCTCACCAGCAATGCTCTCCCCCGTCTTCTGCCCATCAAAACCCCTAAGTGGCGCCTCCCACCCTACACTGAGCTGTCAGTTCCCTCTGAGTCTGTGCTACACGTTGTAGGACAGGCCCCTCGGAGTGTTCACAGGTGTCTGGCAGGTGTTATTCTGATTTCAACAAAAGCGCAAGACATAGCCTTACTCACCTGTGCGCCTCCCGCCCAAAGTACCGCACACGCGGCCCAGCACACAGTAGGCCCTAGATGCAGTGCACGCAGGAGGGAGAGTGACCGCCGGGGTGAGATCTGAGCTCAGACTGGGTCTGTAAGGGCTAACGAGGCATCTTCGAGGGAAGTCAGGCCATCAGTGACCAGGGCGGTGGAGAAAGAAAGTGCGGAGGTGCCCGAGAGGCCAGGTGCCCACCCCACCGCCCCATAGAGCGGCGCCCCGCTGGGCCCCGCATACCTTGCCCTCGCAGGAGC